TGACTCTCGAGGAGTGGAGGAATAGAGAGAACAAAGACTACAAAACTAGATATTGTTGTAGTTTAGCGATAAGACGAAGTCCAAATGGAACACATTGGATGACAAATCAAGCTTTTCCTGGTATTTAGACCCCCTCCCTTTCCCATCTAAACTCGACAATAATAGAAACAATGACGTGGAAACCAGAAGGTGAAACAACAACTGCGGATGACATCCGGGGGAGGGGCGGACAAACAACTACGGCTACAGGATTAACAGAAAACACCTACGGCTTGGAGCTGGAGCACCTCGGAAACATGAGTGGGGACACAACCACCTCTATTCTCATCGTCATCATCAGCGAAGATAATTTCATCGGGTCTTGGCTTAGCCAACCTCCGTTTCAACTTGGGACCAGGAGGAGGTCGCAGAATGAAGGCCGATTCGCTCCGACAGTCGTCGGGAACAGCAATAATATCACCTGCTTCCCCCTCTGATATCGAAGAAGAGGAGGAGTGGGAGGAGTTGGACGAAGACGCTTTTTCCTTCTCTACATCTGCGTCCTCTTGCGGGTTCGACACAGAACCAAACCATCTACTACCACTGCTCGAAGCGCCTGTAGTACCAAGAGTGCTTTGTGCTCGAAGAACCTTCTGAGTCTGCTTCAACCCCAGAAGACCATTTGCAGTGGGATTCAATCTAGCTTGCTTCAAAAGATTCAACAGACCCATCGGTTGCTGTGGCAGGAGGCTGGGTGGAGGCTGATTTTTTTTATCACATGCAGACGTCACGACACATGTACGTACACGCAACAGAGGGGATGAGGAGTGGGTGGAAAGAAGGGAGAAAGAGAAGATTGTTTCGAAGATTAGAACACCTGATCTATAAAATAATTAACAGACTGGTGTTCCCCCTCTCCTCACGCAAGCATGCCCAATCAACCACGATTCCGATTCTTAGCTTGCACTTTCTCCTCGCGTTTTTTTAGTCGTTTAAAGATGCAAGCGCAGCAAATTGGTAAAGCATTCAGACGTTGGTTGAAGAGGGAGTTAAAGAAAAATTGTTTGAACCTCACCTCAACATAGATTCGTCTCTGCACGTGGAAGAGGGAATAGAGGGAAAAAAGAGGTATGAGGACCCAGTATTGATCGAAGAAGGTGGGTGGGTGTGTGTGTGCACAGGAACTTACCTCAGGCTTGCCACTGGCTGGTTGACCAGCGGGCGTCTTCTGTTGCTGCGACTGTGATTGACTAGGCGCTGGTGCTGGTGGGGGTGGCGGAGTGGCGGGTATATTGCGTGAGAGACCCAAAATGGGCTGACGCACAAATTGGTGCTGACTCACGCGTGGAGTGGACAGAGGAGTTGGTGACTCCTCAGCTGAAGATAAAAAGCGCACTTGTTTCATGGTACTCATTTGCTTCTTCGATAGGCGCTACCCCTCCTAATTGAGCTACTAGCGATCGCTGATTGAAGACATCACATGCTACTGATGAATATACTTAAGTAGACGGACCATACGACGCTATACATGCTACTCATTTAAGTGAGGTGATTTAAGTAGGCTTACAGAACTGAGACGGCGATCTCACAGCGAGCTGCTGACGAGTGGGAGTTCCATTGATGTTAGTCCTCGGCGGATAGTTCTGTCCACTACCACCACCGCTGCTGCTAGACTGTGAGAGCGGGTGATGCTGTTGAAGTTGATGGTGCGAATGGGAGTGCTGCTTGTTCAAGTCCAAGGGACGTCGCATGTCCGGTGGCACGTTTCCGCTGCCCGTCTGCGCAATCCCGAAAAACCCAATGGCATAATTCGGAAAGAAAATAATGATAGTAATTATGCACAGAGGGCACAAAAAACTGACCCTAGACTCCGCACCCGCTCTAATCGGTGGGAATTTGGGTGTTATGATATTCTGATGGCGTGAAAGCGGAGCGTCGGCACCGTTGCTACTAGTGTTACCGACGAACAATTGTTTGGCTGAGCGAAGTTGTTGCTGCTGTTGCATGGGGAAGTGGTGTGCCGTGTCCTCGAATTTCTCCTCACTTGATGACGACAAAGGCTGTTGTTGTTGCTTCGCATTCGCCGTAGCCGCGGTTACACCGAGCTTGGGCCCCCGGGAGAATTGTGAGGAGACGGAGGATTGTTGTTGTTGCTGCTGTTGGGATTGGTACACTGTATGCTGTTGCTGTGGGTAGTGATGCTGTTGTTGTTGTTGGGGTGGTGACGTAACTTGGCGTACAGCACCTGAACCTGGATGTCGTTCGCGTTCCTTAATCGAAAAAGAAGGGTTATGAAAATATTCAGCGCCTACTTCTCAGTGTGCGTGAATTCAACCAAAGCCCAGTGGAATTTCACACGAATCCGGGTAGTTTCAACAAGCACGTATTTTTTATTTTGCGTTCTATACAATGCATAAACAATAACGACAAACGAGTGGAGAAGGAGCGTGGGATTCAAGATGGAGCTGTGAAAGAATGGCACTTGTTTCAACTGGGATTTAACTAAACGGGATCTTCAATCTTCGTGGTTGTTCTTACCACGCTTATGGCCTTCCAACACTTCTACGACACTCCCATGACAGCATGACTTTTCATGTTTTCATGAATGAACCATGGCGGCCCCAATAAACGCAATTCCCGAAATTGGCAATGGAGAGTCAAGTCTGGGCGTAGCAGAGGGAAAGCACTGACTCTAAAAGGCTAAATTCCCGTAGAACCACAGAATAGGTGTTTCGTCTGTTCTCCAATAAGGGCACTGTCAACTGCAGCGATAAGAGAATTTAGCGACCTGAAAATGACCTCAGTGTCTACAGTAGGATACTTAAACTTTAAGGAGATGTACATGCCTCTTTTTGAGCTACAAGATATTGAAAATATCCCAGATAAACGACTGGACACTCCTAGGGGGACGTAGAAAATCCCATTTTTGTACTTTTATAGGCGTGGAAAAGGCCCGCTACCATGATGCCACTGTACGAAGTGGTAGGTGTTACGTGTCACCACACCCTTAATCAAGCTGAGACAACCCATGCAATAATGGCGGTGCAGTCTGCGCGTCTATGTGACTATCCATTTGGATGAACAGATGAACCAACTTTCAGCTCTCTTGCAAACAATTAAATCACACAATCCCAACTTACGATTACTTACTTGCACAGAAGGCTTCAAACATGGTGCTGTATGGCCATGCCACCCTTCAAAGACCTGAAAGACGACCCTACGCACGTCTGTAAGTGTCCATCCCTGTCGTGATGGCTACCACCTCCACATCCCGTGGGAACAGTCAACAAGTTGGTGCAAGCTGGGAACCTGGAGAGCTTCCTCCCCCTCCTAGAGTGGGAGACCCTAATCGTACTGGCAATTCCTTCAATTCCAATGCCATTATGTAGAGGGTAGAGGGACTGTGTGGAGAAAGTGCATGTGGTTCCCACTCCTTAAAAGGTGTTTTTGGGCTACCTTTGAGGACACAAGCCCCCGTTTGACTTGAACGACCGTCAAAGAAAGTCTTTCGACTAAAGCGCAATCACTGCGACGCAAGTGGTGTGGCAGGAGGAGGGAGAAGAACGAGTGTTGAGGTGAATCACCACTCAATCGCGCATACACTAGTGGCTCCGAGCACATCTGTGAACTAGGGTGTGGCCAAAAAAATAACGCTGAAATATGAGGTATCTGGAGGGCACAACGAAAGTGTGCGATGCACAGGCAAGTACAGCGGATGGGTTGGCTAGGCAACCAAGGGGGGGGAAGGGTGGACGATAGCAGCTGTCCCGGAATCCATACAGGCAAAAGGAAAGGAATAGATAGAATGGAGGAAAACAACTTGATAGATTTTCTCAATGGAATGAAGACATCTCATCTGTATTGCGCGGGGGTACAAAGTGCAAGGCGTCACCAGTGAGGTCAACACTTGCACACAGGACACAACACGGAAAAAAACAAAAATGAAAACTGTATTTTGCATGTCTGATTGGCAAGTTGGATCCTTGCAGTAAATGTGGTGCTACTCAAATGAGTGCATAAAACGAAGCCTCGAAACCTGTGATAACGCGCAAATTCAAGCAATGGTTTTAAGAGAAGTACCATAAACACAGGAAATTGGGACATAGCTTTTAACTGGGTAAATGACAGGGTAAGGTAAGGAGCCCCTCATTCATGTTTATTTTGTCACTTTTAGTCAATTTCAGAAGTGTAAAGCCAATGCCTAAATTGCCGCCATAAAAATTTCGGAGAAATGTGGTGGCATGAATGCTGCGAGTGTTTGGGGGTGATGCAGTATAACGCCCGAAAATACACCTTTCAACTTGTCAAAATGTCAAAACGTCAATTAACGTCCAGAGGCGGCACGTCATCAGCGTAGTCTCGCATGGCATTGCTTCTTCCACTTTTTTTCACTTGACGAAAGATCGGTCCAGCAGTCGCCGCACGGACCTACGTCCATCCAGACAGGAGGGGCATGCCAACAGTGCGGTCGGAAATTGCCGGGAGCGTTGCAATTGAACTATAGGGTATGGTAACGGTTCACTCAGGGACGGTCTAACCTCCAGCCCATGCGAGTAGCCGTCCCGGCCTTTCTCTACACCGACAATATGTATTCTGATCGAGTACCATGTCTTCCTTTCGTCGCCAAGGCAATCTTGGGGCGCTACAGTTCAATGCTCGTTTCTGTGAAGTTTCCTTTTTGATCAGTCCCAATCACATTTGGGCTGCCGGAATTGCATAATTTACTTTGTGAAAAATAGAGCCTCATTAAAGCGAGGCATTATTTCCTTTGAGACACACAGTCAACAGAAACTTCACACCCCGTGGGGGTAAGAAGGAATGAGCTCCCGCGATGTAATCGCAGAAATGTACTTTCAGCTATCCGAAAAACACGCAAAGGGACCAAGCAACACAAAAGCGCAAAAAGCCCCATTAATGGAAACAACAGCTAAGCGTAAACTTCCTAAATGGAATACGAAATGACACTGGCAAGGACAAAATTTGAATGGGTAAATTAAACGAGATGTCAAGAGGATAACACTGACGACAGGCATCAAAAACAGTGAAAAAGAAGGAAGAATCTTTAGTGTTAGTGGAGGGAGGAAAGGGATCGAATTCCATGGAAGGTGTGCTATGAAAAAACGTGGGCTAAAAAGTGATTTACTTTAGGAAGGCTACAACTACAATCCTGATACGCACTGGTATTTTGAGGAGGAAACTTCTACGAATCGGCTCAGAGTATTGTAACAGACCAGCACGCCTAAGATCTCACTTCATGATAAAATGGTTCCACAGAAACTCACCTGGAGGCGGGCAAACTTCTGCCTCAATGTGTGCTCCTCCGCGGCCACCGCTGTGCTCGGATCTCCCGGTGCCTCAATCACCGAACCACGTGTTCCCCCATCTCCATTGAGCACCTGCGAGTTTCGATGCTGCTGTTGAACCGCCGGTGGTGGTCGGTACATACCCGAACGCTGCACCAGATGCTGTTGCTGCTGCGGTGGTGGTATACCTCTGTGCTGTGGCTGAGCGGCGAGGAAGGAGGGTTGAGACTGACCCCGTGATGAAATAGCACCGGGACGATACCCACGTGCCACTTGCGGCTGTTGTTGGTGGATGTAGGCTGCTCGGTGCTGTGCGAGTGCGAAGGGATCTTTGGAAGCAGCGGCAGCACAGGCTTGTGCCGGCGGCGGTGGTGGTGGCGGAGGTGGAGCGGGCGACTCGTCATCCTCTACATCGCTGCCTTCGTACTCGTACACCTTGTCCTTTTCGTCGGTGCCTACCCATAAAAATGTAATTCTTAGCAGAACCAGAAATTTGGGTAAAATTCTCAGGGTGGGAGTAGAGACTCTCACCAAGACGATGTGGAGGTTGGTACAGAAAATTGAAAAGTGAGGACGAACACCCTCAGCACATCTATGAGTGCTGAAAAGTCAGATTCGATTCAAGACATTCAGGCACTAGAGGACTGAAAACAGTCAACACTTTCGATGACAACTTAGAAAAACCAAAAGGCCTTAACTTTTAACCTAACTCTGCGAAAATTTAAGACCACCCATTAACACAAACGTATGATAATTAAGAAGTGCTATAAACACAACAAAAGAAACACAAACACATACGGAGATAGGGTACGATGTGAAAGACGGGTGATTAGCAAGTTGCATGCACTAGCATGTTTTTCATTCCGCCACCAACAGTAGGTGAATTGACAGTAGCAACAAAAAAAAGATAAATCCCGAGTTAATTGTGCTTTACGGATGGGCATTGCGGTAGAGCAGTTTGATTGATCTCTCTGAATGACGCTAGAACTTTGGAAGGGGTGACAGCGATGCCACGAGAAGAGGGTAACACGCCTCTTCGACGGATTCAATGGGAACGCTAACAATTCAGTGTTTCAAACTGAACCAGATCAGGTGTCACGATGACGTTCACGATAAATAAATGAAGGCTAATCGCAACCAGTCAGCAGTTCAGTGAGGGTAAAGCGAGTGGGGACGAGAAAACAGAGGCCTATGTCTAGGCGGAAGGGGAGGTCAAAGTTGTGGCTGGATCACAAATCGTCCACTTTTCATGGATTTCCCTCTCTGCTTTCCAAACAGTCGATTTGACTGTGAAACGTCTAAACAGAAAAAAATGGAACGACTTGAGAACAGCAAAACTTACGCAAACTGGAGAAGGAACCAAAGATTTTACAAAAAGTAAGCCGATGGGACCAAAACACTAGCCATAACTGCGTATGCCTAGAGATTTTGTCCAACTAGACAGTCTGCGTTAGTAGGACGTTTCTAAGGCTGACTCTGGACACAGATACACCGCTTGCTGTGGAAGCGTAGGCGTGGTCAATACAACGCTCAGCATCCGGACATCAGAAAGCTCTGAGACCCAACAAACCAGGGGCTGGACAATCAAAAATGTGCGCAGTCTTGATTTGATTCCCTTGGATTACCGTCAAGAGGGTAATCATTAAGGTTGTTATGACCGATGTGAATGAAAACCATCTAAATCGCGCATTTAACTCTCGGTTAAGGGACTTCATTGAGGGAGACAGATACACCGACTCAATAAAACTTGGCGTCATTCAGTGGCATTCATTTTTCTTCCGATGCAGCGGCATTTCATAATTTTCTCTTGTCACCGTCCCCTCTATACTTAAACCAGGCACTGGAAGCTTCAAATGCAACACAGACTACAAAGTAGCGTCAGAAAAGGTTATTTTACATCCAAAGAGGCGACAAACGAGAAGACTGGAGGACAATCATAAATAAAAGAGATGGGCACCGGAGCGGGGGACTGAGCACTTAACCAAAGCCGACGGTTAGGAGAGTAGGCAGTGGTTTTCCATGGACAAAGGCATAGGAAGAGGTAGGAATGAACGTACTTCGCCGCGTACGCTTGTGTCGGTCGATGTAGTCCTTGAGGTGAATGCGCACCTGCCGTTCATTGGGTAGATTAGCGACAAAATCGTGCTTCAACAGCTCGGTGGTGGTGGGTCTCTTGCGAAAGTCCTTAGCGAGGCTCCTGAAGATGAAGTCGTGGAAATGGGGAGACCACTGACGGGCGCCAAGACCCGTCTTGAGGCGAGGCGGTTGATTGCGCATGATGAGGAAGAGAGCACGCATTGGGTGCATCTCGCAGAGGGGTGGACGACCCTCCGCCATCTCTAGAGCTGTGATACCCAACGACCAGATGTCGGAGCGCGCATCGTAGGTGCAGCTCGTGTCCTGCTCGCAACTTATCACCTCTGGGGCCATCCTAACCACGAGGCATAGAGATACACGGGGACAATGATGATCAGCGTCCATACCATCGCTTCTAAACGAAGTGTTTCGAACTTAAGACTATATCAACCAGAAGCCAGAGGCGGAGACAGAACGATACTACTGATAATGAGTCAGCCCCTGCATCATCCTACAGCTGTCCCACTCACGGTTTATCAGTCTCGGCGCCATCCTAACCACAGCACAGAAGAGGAACTTGAAATTGGTAGAATTCAGATGGTACCAGCGACGCAAATCTGAACAACACGTCTCCAGTTGCTGCTGTTATTTTTATCCTCACAACGGCGCTAAAGCGGTTGGTGGGACTGAGGCGACACTGCCAATACTGATGCAGATAATAAGTCTTGCGATTATTAATGATATCCTGTCGAGACAAGATAATAAAGTGCAGGCGCAGTTTCGTTCAACTGTTTGTTGAACCACACAGACATTTTCAGTATTTAAATGTGAATTTGTTAGCTTTTATGGAGCAGTCTTATTATTACCAACTACATAGACGATTCAAATTAGCCAAGTACTGCCGACAATATACACGAGGAGGGCCTACCAGTAGGGGGTTCCAATGAAGGTATTCCTCTTTCCAATGGTTCGATCCAATTGGGCGCTCACGCCGAAGTCGACTAAAAAAAAATGTAAATGAGACGATATCATCGCCTTAACACGTGCCCACTGGTGAATGCCACCCAGCAACACACCCAGCTTGACATCCGCGTTGTCTGTAAGGAGGACATTCTGACCCTTGATGTCTCGGTGAATGACTCGGTTGGCGTGGAGGTGAGACAGGCCCTGAAATGGGTGGAGGTGGGTGAAGGAGGAAATAAAAAGAAATGCATTAGAACCTCTGTTGATGAGTTAGTTGATTTTACACGACTGTAGCGGTAACCAGCACAGAGACACGTTGTAACACGTAATCGGATTGACGAATGCCGGTGTAAGCGTGTGCATACACGTGTTTCACAAGAAATTGAGACATACAGAGCGTTCTTGAAGGCACCTTTAATTAGAGCCGAGACATGGCGACTCACTATGAGCCGCCACATGAAATGAGAGAACACTGTGCACAATTCAATTACAATGCGGCGAAGATGATCAAATGTGGCAATGAAGAACTCGCACGAAAGGCAGCCATTGAAATTCAGTCAAATCTCGAAGATACAGCTCCGTGAACAAAGACCACTGAATTTCACCGCGTGAATGGAAATTTTTTGTTGAAAAAAAAAGACTCATCTGTGAACGAGACGAATGAGACCTGAGCCCAGTTCACCTGAAACATCAAACGGCTAATGAGACTGTTCCTTTTACTTGAATGACCTCTATCCTTGGGCAAATTTGCTAGGTCCCAAAATTCGTCCAGCCCTCAGTTCCATTCACCTGAACGCCTTCACCACAAGTGATGCGATGAGAGAATATTGGTGGCATTTAAGTTATAAGCCTTTCTTACGTAACACAAGTTCGCCCAGCCACTCCACTTTCAGTAAAGCGTCAAAATAAGATTACGCTAGAAGCAAGGAAGGAGCCGGGAGTATTCTTCTGTTCAGATCTATATTTCACACATCAGGCGATAGAGGATATCGAAGTTCGGGGAAAAAATAGGATTCCCCACACCTAAATACGCTCCCGTTTGGGGTAAATGCGCACACAATGAAGAGGCCTTAAACTGATTTTCCTTCGAAACCTACGAGGTACACAGGTATTACTGAAAATCAGCCAATTTATTCTCCTTACTTTAAATGTGGCCACTGGTGTGGCAACCGGGAGCTCCAGGATCGACGGTTAACAAAAAAGGGCATGTCTACACCCGTCCAGCTCTTCTGTACACGAATAATAGATCCTTCATAGGAGTGCTGGAAGGACTAGGAGCCCAAATTGTTTACGGGGATAAACGAATCCGGTTCAAAAGAGCAAATAGTCTGAGGACAGGAAGATATCTGCTGATTCTACGATGGCCTAAGGCAAAGTCCACTTCATCCAAACATCGCAATCTCGTATTTTCGCCAAGGAGCAATCAACAATGGCAGTGACACTCGTCCTAAACAGTTTAAAAACGTCCGCCCTAGAGTTACTGCGATATTTACGTGAAGGCCCAGGCATTCCTCGGATAAATAAAGCCTCCTCCACTGTCATAGTGGATGAATGGAACCCTAATTGACAAGCGAACAGCACGGAAACAGTGTCAGGGAGGAATGAGAGCCCAATGCGAAGCGCATTTCATCTACTTGTCGTACCAACCAGATATGCGTGATAGCAAGTAGTACCCTAAAATGTATCCGTTGCGAAGCGCCATCAGTTTTAAACGGTCAATAAATTTCCCAGTGCAGTTCGCAAGAACGGAAGTGCATTTGACGCTGGGATCTTCCCGCCTCCGTGAAAATTGCATGATTAACGTTCCTACGTCGTGGGTGCCAAGTAGTGCATCAACTACGTGATGACGAACGCAAAATTATAAAGGAGACGTAGTAGTAGTGCTAGTAAACTTGACTTGACTGCGCCAACTTCTCGGTTCGCAGTCTGACAGCTAGTCATGACTTCAGGAAAGTGCAAAGACGCATTAGGTGCACCGCTGTCCCGCGACACAACGTCTAAAACAAGATGACGGAGATTCGATGACTTTTGGAGATATACTTTTCACAATTAGAAAGCTAGCGCCTATGGACACCAATCCAGCGAGGAACAACGCCCAAGGCATGATTTCGAGGCTCAGGGGATACAACAACGCACACAGAAGCATGACCACCACCACTATTTTAAGGCCAAACATGTGAATGAAAAACAAGCTCAGAGGTAAACACGGAGGTTGGTACGTATGCCTATCTACGAAGGGGAGGACGAGATTAGCGGCAGAAAGTCAGTCAAGTGTGAACGTATGTGTCACACATGGCAAGGCGAGGCCAGACCATGGCGGATGAATAAGCTCCGCCCGCATTCGTCCGCCAGCACTTACGGACGCACAAGAGGGGACGGAGAGCGCACGGCGCGGTGCGACAAGGCACAGCAATGACGTGCACGTGCGCGCGCACTAAACATATGATGACTATACAGCACTACACCGCCACCACCGCCGCCGTCAATCGATGACGCGCGCTCGCAGGCAGCGAACTGCCGACGGTGGCTGCTACATGTGTGCGCCAAGGCCAGCCGAATGCATACAACAAACGCAAACACGGGCATATACACAGATGCAGAAAGATAGATACACGGACGGAAAAAGGAGAAATTGGTGGCCTTCAATCACTGTTGCATCAAAACACAGTTTCTTTGGTCGGTCGCTGGAAAAGTTGATGATCTACCACCACTTTCCCAGGTTTGGAGACAAGGAATCCTTCAACAACGAGTCCTCAGTCGCGATTTTAAGAGAGACTGGAACCTTGAGACGGATAAACGGGAAGTTGTAGGCTCCGGTATTCCTCCGCCGACAGCTTGTTTGGAAGGTTTGTCGAAGTCCTGCCAACTGAGCAATCACTGGTGTGGTCGATGACGGCTGGAATCTCAATCACCATACTTCTGATGCTTATAAGTGAATGGCGTTGCTACGGTTACTTTAGCTCCGATTTCATTGAGGATAGCAACTTCGAAGGGCAAACAGGAAACACTGACTTGTCGAGGTAGGGCCTCCACCATTCTCCTATTCACGACCTCCTTAAAGGCTGGCAGTGTGAAGGTGCAGCACCCAGCCAAATGGTTGATGGCATTCTGAGAGTTCCCTTGATATCCAATTCGGCCGAGAGACAGAGAGGGAATAGAGGTGCTATTTAGAGCAACAATCTTCATAGTTTTGTCTTAATCCACAGATGCTATGAATGGGGAAGTGTGTAAACAACTTAACACATTTAGACAGTTGACAGATGAGTGACTATGTGTTTAGAGGCCTCCACCAGTGTTCTGTTTACCTTCGTCTTCGAGGAATCGCTAATAGGTAAAACCTTGTCAGAGAGATAAACAAATGACGTAAACGTAGTCACGAGCCTTTCAACCACCACCTTCTGGGGGAAGGGGTCCATCGACGTCTGGTCAAATGACTTGTGTACGATCGAGTTTGTAAACTCTGACAGGTAGAACAAGAATGAAGGTGAAGCAGTTCCGGTGGTTACCATGCCCTGCCCCTTTGAAGGGCGGTGGTGGTGTGAATGCATTTCAGCATCCAGCTGATTGGTCAGTGAATGGGGTGATAAATAGTTTGGCGGGTCTTGAAACCGGCCCATTTTAACGGCCAGCAGTAGCAGTTGTAGAAGGCCTTGCATAATTCCTGTACATTTGAAATACTCAGCTATAATTACGTGGGTGGATGTGTGAAAAAGTTGTACCCGACGGTTGGTAAAACACTTACTCTGCAGAGTCACAAAACCAGACGCAATCGTTCCACATTAGGGGGGATAAAGAAGAAATCACCGGCCCCCTTTAGCTTTGGAAAACGTAAAGAGAGGGGGTACACGGACAAATACATCACTGGTCTGTTCGGAGCTGCTGGGAGGGTGGAATGCAGATGCCTTCTAACACAAAACCGACTGATATACGAGACGTTATTGTTTCTACCACTTCTCTACCCACAATCTGCCTGGAATCTCTATCGCTTTTCAGTCAACTAATCAGTGGAGTGGGAAATAAAAGTCAAGTGGCTTTCGGGACCATCGCCTTCCCAGTCCTAAGAGTAATGAGCTCCAATGTCGGCATCCACATTCCAATCCTTTTTAAGGTGTGTTGATGTGGTTAAAAGCCATCTAGCGAGCATTTCCAGGAATAGGTTTCATTACTCGTGGGCCGGAGAGTGGCCTGTTAAGGCGCAGTGAGTCATGGTGTTTCTGTAGCTTCGGAACGTCGAAATTTACTTTTTGGCGACGCGTATGAAGCACACGTTTCAACAGAGGAGGTAATTCAGGTCAAAGCAAAAATTCAAAAGCAAAGCATTCAGAAACTCTCATCGAAAGCTGTCAAAAGTGAGTATCTAGACGCAATAACGAACCGGAGGAGCCTATAATTCAAAAAAATGAGGAAAATTCACCCCCTAATTCAGTCAGAAATTACGAAGCCACCTCGGAGCTTCAGCGGTCGATCCAAGCCGATGCAATCTACACGACTTCGTGCGTTGACAACACGCTTTGTGGGGGAAAAATAAAATCAAAGTCTATGAACGATGAAGTCAGATAACAGAGGAAAGGAGGAATTTTAAAGTGAGGATTTCGGGACCTCCTTTTGAAACTAGGGGATTAAGGAGCGTCGGCATTGTGTAACGTAGAGATGTGAAACGAATAGTCAACCCATTGCACAATAGAAACCTGTACGACCAAGGCTCATGGAGATGCAAAGTTGGAAGGGAATGAGAAGGCGAACCTCAAGAACCCAAGCCTTCAATCGATGGTTTAGAGTCCATCTTGAAGGTTCATTGAACAAATTAGGAGGATGCGATTAGATGACCATTAGCGACAGGCATTCGATGAGAGATTAGCTGGAGAGGAATTGGAGTTGTGAAGAAGCCGAAATAGCAAAAAAGATACTAGAAAGGAATGGAGGTGCGTGGAGGTAATGTGGATAATGACTGAATGGGGTAACTGATCGGCGTATAAACGCCAAGCGCATGTTGGAACAACCCTGAACAAGCGTCACCTTGAAGCCGTCTCGGCACAATGCAAGTAAACTGGTGAACACAGTGCTGTAGCTTGAATCAAAAAGACGCACCCGAAGAATCTCTCGACAGATGTAGGCAATCCAGTCCTCCTTCAATGACTGACCCCGAGTACCTACAACAGGCAAATGGAGAGTTGGATACGTGTGCACGCACAGACTGGGACGAGACAATCGTAAGCCTTGTGCACACACACACATACATTAAGTGCCACTGCGTGTGTGTTCGTTACTGTACACGAAAAACTCACTTTTGACCAAATCTGTCACCGAACCGGCCCCACAGTACTCCATCACGAGCTGGTGTTAAAAAAAAGAATGAGAGTGGCGTGGAGGTGTGTGGTAGCTCGCCTCAATGACAGTTATGCCGATTGTAGACTTACCCACAGGTGGTCGTTCGGGTTGGCCTTTTTAATAAAGGCACCGAAGTAAGTGGCGATGTTTCGATGGTTGGAGAGCTAAAAAAATCACAACCATACACACGTATGTGCGCATGAAAGCGTGTGACTAGTTTCGGAGTTACCTATGCGTATTATCAGCGAGGTGCACTGAAAAGTTGGGGAATTAGAGCGACTAAGTGCCCCAAGCCACTGTTGGCGAGGGAAGGGGATGCATCCACCGGACACAACCTTCCAATCCCAACGCTACCACCCGAGCTTCTGCTCTCATCAGGATGGTGCAGACCAATACATCGAGGAACAGAACCACTACCGAATTCGTAAGACACCGAATTTTGAGCAGTGAATGGCTTACCGTTTTTAAGATAGTTAATATCCCAAAGAATAGCATTTCATATGAATCTTACAACCCAAGATATCACCTCCCAGGATACAGATTATCAAGAAAAAGGCGAACCCAGATCTAACCACCGAAAAAAAAACAAGCAGGAGATTCAACGGATGGAGGCAAAGGCGCCAGGAAAGGACTAAAGGGTATCGAAAAACCATTCTCATCAAAGTCTAGCCCCCAGAAAATGCCTCCAGCTCAGGTAGCCGGGATGCGTTAAAAGTGAGCTACCCAACAATGGCAAGAAACCCGACAAAGGTAGTTGAAAGGATGGAGTCTAAAAGTCTGAATTTTTCGCCGATAAAATACACCTATCAAACAAAGCTACGCCCTCGAAACCTACTAGATCGATTGACAGAAGACAACAAGATCGAGAAATGGGGAAGAGGTGGGCAGTCCTCGGGTTAAATTAATATTGAGGAGCTAGATCGGTCCACTGATGAGGAGCAAAGAGGGAGATGTGAGAATAACATTCGAAATTAAACCGATGAATGAGGAGAGAAAGGGAGCATGAAGAGGGTGCAAAACAATTTCAAAGTCTGCATCCTACTCCGGGTAAAACATCCATCAAATTTATATATCTCTTTAAGAAGCGCTTCAAGTCGTGGGATAGCAATGAACTCAATAAAGGAAATAAGGGCAGGCATGAAGGGGACTCAAAAGAGGCGCATGACACTCCAAATGCTTTACAATAAGTACCCCCACGAGGTCTATTCTTTCGCCGATTCTTGTAGAATGTCATTTAGCCTTGCTTCAATGGGGAAAGAGGAGGGCAAAGGATGACTCACTTGACACAGGATAAAACCACGCCTAGGGAGCACGACAAGTAAAGTGAAGAGCCAGCCAGGACAGAGCTTCAAAACTGGATAGTAGGGATTGGAGGCCTTCCAAGCGGATTGCAGCTATCGGCTTAAGACATTCACCCAGTGGGTCCCAATTGTCGGATGGCTTAACCAGCTACAGGATTGCCGAAAAAAGATAACTAGAAAGAGAGGTATGCAATATGTGCAGAGGTCTACCTTCATCTGGACAAAGAGCATCAAGGCCCTACCCCAGGGAGGATAAATTTTCATAACCACATACCCTTAGAGGTTTTCGGGCTACCTCCCAGTGGAACATATAAGTTAAAAACATCACATTAAGGAGCTCGAGCTTTCTGGAAAGGCGCGGATTCAGTCGAGGAGGCCTGACAAATGAGGTGAGCAAATAAACAAACAGGAGCGATTTATATTTGCCCCTCCCATTACCAAAATCGCCACCCAGTTCGACCAAACAAGAGGGAGGGGGTAAAGTGGCGAGGTAAGGAAATAAGTGGTTCACCAGGCAAATAAATAAATAGACGTCCAATCCTGTTAATAAGCATTCAGCTTCAAAGTGAGCAGAGAGGGATTGAAAGGCTCCATCAGGAAGCCAAATTCTACCTAGTGAACACGAGGTCTTCAAAACATCTAATGGGATCTTATTTTCAAAGAAAAAATAGTTTGGGTAGTCAAGTGAACCAAAAAGCAACATTTCAGGAAGTCGGGAATCCTAAGGAAGGGAACTGTGTGATTTTCTCCAAGATGGAGACTTCGGCTGCAAAAAAAACCTATTTTAAGAAGACCTGCTTGAATTAAAAATAGAGAACAAGAGACCAATCAGATTCAGTTGTAAGGAGGAGAGGTAGGAAGGAAAAAAACACCACTTTTCAAATCGCGACTTCACCTCAGTTCGACCGAGCTGGAGAGAGGGATGACGGACAGCCATTTCCACACAGCTAGATCATTCCTACTCTGGAAACTGGGTGTTCAGCTACATTTTCGGATTTTAAGCTTGCACCTCGATCGAAGCGCCCTCTCAACAGAGAATATGGAGAAAACCGGAGTGTAAACATCAAGAGAAGAGAAGAAATTCAGCTATTTTCTACTAGAAAAGGTTTCTCAAGTTGACTTCAGTTAGGTCCGTTGAATGATGCAAGAGGAGAAAGGTAGAAAGTAACGAGTTCCTAAAGACCTAAAGTGCCTCAATAAAACGCATTTATTACAGCACTACATTACCTCCGGAAAAAAAGAAAGAATAGGAACACCAAGGGGATTTCAATTTAAATTGGTAGACCTAAATTTTGTCCGACTTCTTAAAAAGCAAATCCGCTAGATGGATTGGCAGGCAAGAGGCCCGAAAGAGGCGTGTGAGAAGGGGAAAATACGCCCGTAAAGTCCGCGACTCTCCCTAGACCATCGCCTCAAAGAGCCTAGACTTGTTTTGAACACTTGAGAATCCGTTCGGAAAGGCATGACAAATGAAGCAGAAATAGAGGCATTTGGGGAAAAAGGAAAATTTAAACAATTTTTTGCAAAAATTTAGGCTCTTTCTGGCTCACAGTCTCACCTCAGTTTAGATGAGTGAGGAGCAGAGGCAGAAAGAAGGGAAGGAAGGACAATTGATAAATTTGATGGACTCCTTCAGGAAGTGTTGGGGCAGTTCAGTTTTATAGATAGCAGGGAGAAAAAAGAAGGGTGAGAAGAGGAAAGTGACAAGTTGTTGGCGGCCCAGATTCTTCAAAGACGTCGTCTCAGAAAGAGTAGCTTCTCAAAAAGCGAAATTTGTTAAAAGATAGCAGTTGGAAGAAAGGGGATGGGAATGTGTACAGAGCGGTGCGCCAGAATCCCGTTGCACCCAGGAAAACACATATGTCGGGTCATTACATAACCTCGGGAAGTCAAAATTGGCAAAAGGAACCAGCAAATTAAATGAAAATAGACGATAAATTAGTAAAAGGCTAGTAGAAATGCAAAAAAGGCGTTATCAGACGCTTAAAGTTTTTAAGTGGATTCGGTTACAGGATGGCTAGCAGTACAGTTTACCAATAAACTGAGGCGGGGAAAGAAGAGCAGTTGAAAGCGCTTCCCACAAAAGCTCAGTCTCTTTCCACTACAGCACAGTCATTAAGTCATGGATGCAGCCAATGGATAGCGGACAAGAATGCCGACAGTTGAAGTCCAAAGGGAAGCGCACAATAAATTTGAGATCTTTTCTTGTAGAACTTCAAGCTTTTACCTCAATTTAGTGGCTGGGGTTAACGAAACGGGGAGGGGGAGAAAGGACTAACCCGACGAAGAGTGTTAATCTCCAGTAGGATTTCCTCCTCGTCCTCCTCGGTGATTGGCATCACCTTGATGGCGGCCAGCTGGCCTGTGCGCCTGTGACGGCCCTTATAGACGTTTCCGTAGGTGCCCTTGCCCACCACCTCGATCAGCGCGAAGATGCCTGAGGGATCTCGCAGCTCCTCCAAATTCATGATTTCTGTCCCAGTCGATGACATATTCGAATGTTCTACTCTCACTTTTACTGTCGGACCTTCCGAGGACATTCGTTGGGGCTAGGCGAGAAGGCGGGAGAAGGTGTTTAAGACATTTTCAAGCAGATATAGACCAAGAATCCATCGTGACTGTTAGCGTTTTGACAGAGAAGATGGCACTTACGGCAAAAAGGTCCGAAGAGACTCCTACAGACCAAAGTGTGCAAATCTGAACGACTTAACGATAACTTGAAGCAGATGTCTTATATTAATTGACAGATGTCCAAAACACATCCATACAGGTAGACTGAGATTCCACCATGGTTATTACTGTCGTACGAGTGGAGGAAAAATGAGGGTGTCTACGACACAGCCCAGATAAAGACCAAAACCCTGCTGTGACCACTGATATTTCTGGAATCCCGAAAGTGAATGAGTATCCAACAGGAAAAATATTTCTAATGGATGTGCTCTAAATGCTACAAATGTAGAATTTTGAACGAGAATTACGGCTGATGAGCCAAAAACAAAAACAAAGATATCCGCATTGGTTCAAGCAAAACAGAGGTAAGTTAAAGCAGTTGTCTAAGAGGATTAAGAACATGCGATGTGAATGAACAGGGAGGGGGACGAAGGACAAATGTTCGGGAATGCAACAACGCTTAGCAGTGTCGTAATAATGCGGCCATATGAAGCGAATCCTTCGGCTGTCCTAGGGAAAGTAATTATGATCCGACAGTTACTGATCGTTTAGAAATGCTCCAGCTGTTGAGGTATCAACAACATGGATTTGAAGGTGCTAATGGCACCTAAGGCCAAGATTCTATGGCGTTTTGATGATGGGCAGGCGGAGGAGAGAAAAAAGCAGAGAAAATCGGCGCATTTAAGCGCACCATGGGGACCGATGCTTTGAAAGTGGTCAAGACATCCGGGACAAGTCACTGCTAACGAACATATTTTGAGAACCGTATTGATTGACATTTTTGTTAAAAGACCTCTTAAAAGTCCAATGTGTTGGGGACAGTTTCGGCAATAAAAATATCGCCTTTATGAATGATGACTCAACGAACAAGGTAGCACCTTCGCCTAGATGTATATCTAAATTCGACGGTGTCTATCAACCACTTGACACCAGCAAAGGTAGGTGAGGAAATTGAACAAATTACAGCAAAAAAAACGTATTTCAACCGTGATAGTCACTCATGATTGACATTAGGTAAGATTGAAGATTGAGCGGATTCAGTTAGAGGGGTTAATGCTTCGCTTGAAAATAGGTAAGTAGAAACAAAATTTCATCGTGGTTATCAGTATTTCC